TGGGTTCGCTTGTCCTATGTTCAATTTGCGTCGAAGTGCCTTCACTAGTTATAGTCTTTAGATAGATTTCTTTATTCTTTATGTATCTAATTTTATATATCTTGTATTCATTTTCTTATATTTTAATAAAGTTTTGCGTAATATCGCCCTTTGCCCTTTAATAATATTTGTCGTTCGTCATATTAAATGATATATCTCGTGACTCGATTTTCTAATATCTTTTAACAAAATACACATAACAAATCGTTGCTTTTTTATAATTTTTCAGTTATCGCACAATATTCAAAAAATAATGGATTTTATTTTTTTTATGGTGTTCGATATTTATAAACGTACAGTAGTAGTTTCAATAATGCTAATACTAAATCATGAAATAGAGACGTTCGTTTCAAAGTATGTTAAAATTTATAATTTTAAGATTTTTAAGCATAGCACCCTTTCATTTAATTTATTTGAGTATTTACAATTTTGCTATTTGATTACGCAAATTCTGTCCTATTTACAGGCAGTCGCGTATTAGAATTGATTCTTGCTGTTACAACTGCAATTGTACTTTTTTTATCAGATGATACATTCCAGTTAAGGTAATAGAAACGCTTATTTGATAAACCTTATAGATAGATTTCTAGGAAACTATCAAAAATAAAATTATTACGTAAAGACTACCTACCATGTAATACAACGCAACGAATAATTATCTTAATATAACATAAAATTCTTATAGATAAAATAAGTAAATAAATAAATTATTGGATAAAATGATTCTATACATATTACTGTCATAAAAAATAAACAAAAATCTTAAATTTCACTTATATCTATATGTTCTTATGTATAAAAGTTTTATAAGTTTCAAATGGGGAATTTTAAAATGAGCAAAATTATAATATTATGGTTAATATTTATAAAGATTATTAGATCAAGATTTGATTGTATTATGGAACTACACAAGATCCTATTACACAAGATTTTATGATAATCATGCCATATTATGCATTTGATATGACACATTACATAACTAAGCATTTTTTTTGAACTTTCTTGGTGGGATAAGTAAGTTAGATAAATTGCTAGGTAGTATCGTGATTATCGCAGTGGTAACATTTTTACAATAAATAGGATTAAGTAAACTCAATATCAGATGCAGTTATTCGGCACTTCGTGCCGAATAACTATTAATTATCCGGTATCCCGTGATTTTTTATAATAAATCGGTTATCAGGCATTAATAATTTTTCTTAATGTCTGATAATGATTTTTTGCCTGATAATCGATTTATTATAAAAAATCACGGGATACCGGATAATAATATTTATGGGATTATTCATTATGTTGCACCGGATGTTTTTCAAGTCAAGAATATACTAAAGCATCAGATGTGTATGGCTTTGGTATGATTAAGTGGGAATTTTGATAAGAAGAAGGCTTTTTTTTGGAATCGGGGGGTTCATGATGTTGACTTTATTATTGATATTTGTGATGGTCTTCGCCTTCCGATTGTTATAAATGCTTCTGAAGGTTATATTGAAATAATGCAAGAATGTAGGCATTCTAATCCAAAATAAGACCAACTGCTGCTAAAATCAAACCAAGAATAAATATAATTCAGAAGATACAAAAGCTTCAACTATATCTATAAATTCTCCAGATATTTGGCCTATAGAAATAAACCCGGTGCCATCTATAAAGCAGATCTTTAAGCGCAATGACAAGTTCTGCTGCGTCTACAAGAAGGTTAAAAAACATATCTTTAGATCTTGTTAAATTTTGATATATGTATATTGAAAAGAACTATTAAATCACATTATTAAATAATTACATATTTAAAGGTTAATCCGATCAATGATGGTTTAATTACAAAGAAAGTTAAATGCAATAGTAAATATCCTTTTTCAGTTATTTTTATTATTTATATATTAACTAACAAAAGTATACTTTTTGTTGATAATGCATAAATAGAAAGAACTTGAGTTTGAAATATAATTTTTTTATTGAATGTAAATTGATATCAATTTTAATTATTTTGCTCGTTAATATATGTATGTTTTGATAGAAATAGGGGATTGGAATCGATTCTAAAAAGTAGAATCGGTTAAAGAATCGATTAAAAGATTCGATTTCGATTAATTCGATTTTAATAGAATCGAGAATGATTTGTAATTTTTTTATCTTCAAACAATTTGAATTTCATTTTTATCGAAAAGGTTCATTTTAAAACTTAAGTAGAATAAATAGTTCCTGATTACAATTATAAAGCTTCTAATCAGCAATTTCGTATAACAAAAAAACTTACTATAAAATTTATTGCTAAACAAATTGCAACTTTATAAAAAGCTGGTTTATAATTTTAATTTTAATGGTGATGACTTTATGATTCGGCTCGGCTACCGATCTATTCGATCTCGATAGATATTATATTTTTCCTATTCATACATACTTGAATAACTTTATTTTATGGAAAGTATGATATATTTCTTTACTTTAGGAGTTAAATATTTTAACATAAATTACCGACAGCGAGCAATTTATACGTGTCAATTTAAGGGTAACCAACAAACAAGCAAATCTCATAAAATAAGAAATTTAACGCCTTAAATAATAATTCAGACAAAAACAAAGAAAGATCGAAAAGTGAAATTTGAATAATAATATCCTGTTATAACGAGAACGAGACGAGAATAAAATTTAATAAATCGACAGGAAATCTTATGATCCGTAAAGTTCAGTTCATACGTATTTTGATAAAATAGGTCAATTTTGACACGTTTTTCAACTTTCGAATTTACTTTCTAACCTAACTTTTGGATTCATCCATGCAATATATATAGAAAGTTTATTTAAATGAATGTTTCAATACAATTTTTACCATTTTACACAAAAAGTCGCTTGAAATTTTACTTTAAGTTATTGTAGCGACTAACTATAAATAGAAGAACTACTAAAAATTTTGCAACTGTGCAGATAATATGTCAAGCGATTCATATGTAATCCAAAAATTTGATTATCCTTGATACTTCTTTAATTCGTTAATATCTTCAATGATTTCTTCAATTTTTTCATCGTTAAATCTCAATGCTAAGCTACAGATTTAGAAAATAGATGCTAGTTAGAATGCTTTGTTGGCATAATGAAAAATAAGAATATAACAAATTACCTAGGAATGTAAGATTTAGCCTCTCCTAAGTTACTAGGAACAAAGTTGATTAATTGAGAAATTTCGTATTCATGTAATATGTGTTTATTCAGCGTTCTATTTGACAGAAAAAAAATGATGCTTAACTTTGCAGAACTCACATTATTTTTTAAAAAAATATATATTTCATTTCAAAATTACCTGCGAATTTCTTCTATAGTTTCTCTACCTTTGAAAGTTCGAAAAATCTTACAATAATCGATCATTTTATCGACACACCTTGCAAATATTTTTTATAAAATTTAAATATCTTCAAAAATGAAAATTATCTTATACAAGTTTTACACTTACGTCCCGTGATTTTCGGGATTTTCGAATTTCACTTGCTCTAATAAAATAATTACTTCAGATAAACTCAAACAAGAATATTCCGAGGCGGATCCGCTTTTAAATTCTTTTATTAAAAAGTTTTATATTATTATATAAATGTTGGAATAACCGCTTAAAAGATCTTTAGTAAAACTACCTTCGTTGAATTTCAAAAGATTTGCATCTTCTTCCGGCGGAGGTCTTTTTTTAAGCCTCCTAAAATTCTCTCGAAAAACAGACATTTTGTAAAACGGTTAAAGCAAAAAAAAAGAGTCCAATCAAGATTTTGAATAAAGAGAGAAGGGGAAAAAAGATTGACTTATTTTTATGAGAATTTTTGACCTTTCGTCACTATATTAAAAATCTAGCTATTACAAAAAATGATTCAATTTGCAGGTCATAGTTTATATCGAATAGGTCTAATTTCACGATTATTCAATTAAAATAAAATTATCTTCTCCTATTGAAATCATTTTATTAAGTGACAATGAAGTTAATTTCTGTCAATATTTAATGATCCAATAGCGAAAGTAATTTAATTCTAAGCGACTCCACTCCTTAATAACTTCTTTTATATACATTTTCATTAGTTCTAATTATAATAATTTTATTAATTTTAACCTATGTTTGCAATAATAATTAATTAATTAATTGGGTAATTTAATCGATAGTCCAAATGTATCTTTAATATATTAATTAATTGATCGTTTCCTTCTAATTCCAATTCGAATAGATTGGACTTTTATTTTCAAAATTTAATGAATTAATTTGGCGTGTTTTTATATAAACCGATTATTTAAATATCATTCTTACTAGAGAAAACAGATATCCATATCACAAATAAAGGTTTCATGATCAGAGCTAAACGATTACAATATTATAAAATTTAATGAAACAACTAATAATATGGAAATTTGCAACAAAGAAATATCAAACGCGGTAAAATCTTATCATTCTTTCAGTCAGATACATAAAGCAATGGGTAATTAAATTTTAGCGAATCTAGAATGATTTTATGAATAGTAAAAAATTTTCTTTCGTATCTTTAAGTCTAATTGATGCATAAAACAACAAACTATTATATATAAAATTTGGATATTCAGACTGAAATTGAGGTATCTAAAATTTATAAAATAAATGTCAAAAATTTTTTAGTATTTTTTAATTTTTTATAAGGAGGATAAAGCTTATATTATACTTTTTTAATTCTTTATCTCTTATTTTTTTTAGATGGATCTTATTGATTTGTTATTTGATACTGATGGTGAATTTAAATACATATGTTATATAAGAGACCATTTTACAAGATTTCATGGGCAAATGCTCTTACCTCAAAAAGAGCAGTAAAGGTAGCTGCATATCTTTTTAATCTTTTTCATTTTTAGGATCCTCTCTAACTATACTACAGTCAGATAATGGTAAGGAATTTTATGCAGAAGTAATCAAAGAATTGATAAATATGTGGTCATCTGTAAAGATAATAAATGGATCTCCCAATTTAAAAGTCTAGTAAAACATGCTAATGGAATCTTGCAACAGAAGTTAGGAAAATGGAAAGAAAATAATGTCAAATGATTGGTTTTTTGGTCATTGATTGTTATTTTAGCTATAAATAATTCATAGTATCGATCTCATAAAAAAAATCTATATGAACTGGTTTATGGTAAGCAACCTACATTCTATTGACTAATTATTTAAAAAAAATATTTTTGATGAAGAAAATATTTCTGAAACACTTCAAATTAAAGATATTGAAGATTCCATTGAAAATTTAAATGATGATTTTCTTATAAAACAAAGTAGAAAACTTAATTTTTAATTTTTAATTTTTAATTTATATTACTGAATATTATACTAATTAATAATTCTTTAATATTTTCTGCAAATACAATTAAAGGCGATTTTCTTATATTTCCAGCTATAGATAATTCTCCTACATCTCTAACTATAGCTAAATCTCTAGCTATTATAATTAAAGGTGATTTTTTGACATATTCATCTTCATCTGTTATAATGGAAAATGATCCTTCTATATCTCCAACTATTATAATTAAAGATAATTCTTCTACATCTTCAGCCAGTATAATTAAAGATATTTTTTATAATTTATTTTTTAACTGATTATTTGTTTTAATATCAAACTTTAATACTTCTCTAATATTAGCTACTCTCTAGTTAAACAAAAAAAATACTTCTTATAAATTAAATTATTTAGAATTTATTTTAGCATAAAGTATATTAATTACAATTAATTTTTTAAATTTTCATTGTCCTGTTCTCATTAATATTACAAATAAAATTTCTCATACAACATTATCATACAAAACTACAATTATAAAATATAATATTTTAAGAGAAGTTATTCATAAAGATTTATACAGAAAAAATGGTAAATCAAATGAATAAAAAATAAAAATGAATAATTGAATATCAGATATACCAGATTGGAGATTTGGTAAGGTTAGCAATAAAATAGATAAATTTGGTGTTGATCAGCCTATACTTTCATGTAAAATAATAGAAAAACTGAGAATAATAAATACCATATTGAATCAAAATTTGAAATAGTTAAAGTCTTTTATTCCGCTATCAAGTTAGAATTACTTGAAACAATAGATTTTCCAGAATTATATGAAATTCCTTTTAAAAAAATTAATTAAAAAAGCCAGAACAATGTGATAAATCTGTATCAGAAGGATTGTGTAAATATAAATATAAATGTAATAACAATAAATGATGTTATAAAAAAATGAGCAAAAAGTGTAATAATAGTAAAAGTTATTATGTCTGATTTGTAACTCAAATAAAATTCACAAAAATAAATAATGTTAAGACTAAACTTAGAGAATCACAGCAAAAATTTGTAGTAAACATCAAAGATTATTCTCAATTAAACATAAGTAACTTTTAGATATTTCAGAGATTATGTTTTAGTGACTACACCTTAAATCAATATAATGAATCAATACAATACTACACAAAGTTAATAAATAATAATAATTTATGCACAGGTTATAAGGTTGCGAAGGATAAGTTTTTACTTAATTAAATATACTCTTTATTAATATTATAATAAAAGTAAGTTTTTTATCTAAAGGTATCATAAGAATCAATCTCATCTAGTAAAATATCAACCTTACTTCTTTCTTAGATATAGATTAATTGATGGAATCATTCATTGATATTAATACTTGATAAAAATATAAAGATATTTATAAATGTTGAATAATTAATAAAATGAACCAAACTAAATATATCTAATAACATCGTCTAGGAAATAAAGTTGACAAGATTAATCAGCAAAGATGATCATGTCAATAAAGTTGTCTGTTATATTAAAAATAAAATTGACGTCAAGATCTGCAAGATGATCTGCAAGGACATTTAATTGACAAAATTGATCTACTAGATGATCGACTAAAACATAAAATTGACATAAGATTTATAAGAAAAATTTAGCCAAAATTTACCTTATTACAATATTTATGTTAAAATAAAGATCAATATTAACTTAGGTAATTTATTTAATTTCAAAATTTGATAATATTATTAAAATACACATTTTAAAAAATAATAAAGAGAAATTAATTGATATATAATATTATTTTGTTTTTATTTCATATCATAAAAACTGATTAATATTTATTAAAATATCTTAAAAAATAAATACATCAATCTTAATATTCATTATATTTTAAAAAAGTTGCTTAACTGATAGGATTTCTATTAAAAAACTTTATTTTCCATTATTTCTTAATTAGTTTTACATGAACAAATAATGTAGCTCAAATATATAATTATAATCCTCTCTTACATCTTTTTATTATATTACTCCTTTACTAATTGTTCTTTATTATCAGCTACTAACTATTTCTTTTCCAAAATACCTATTCCTAAAAAATACTAAAATAAAAGAATTATTAGCTAATATTATTCAGAATTCATTCATTCAGCTTTATCTGTTTATTTATAATAAATAAAAACAGAAATATTGGCAATATTCCTAAGATAAAAAAAATAAAACAATACACTAGCACTAAATATTTATCAGTAAATTTTAAGTTTTAAAAGACTTATTGATCTATTTCATAATCCAAAAGACAATTCTCTAAAAAATATAAAAAAAAAGAAACATAAGACACTTTATAAGACAAAAAAATAAAAAATAAACATATTATAGAGTACTACTAAGAGACCTCTTTTGATCGTATCCCTATGATAATATACTTGAGCATTTTATTAGATACAAAATGATATTCTCAAATTAAAATCCAGGTATCAATTAATTTTTAAATCAAGTAAATTGATATATACCCGATTATTTTATCAATTATAAATAAATTAATTTACATATAATCTTAATATAAATTATATAAAACAAGTAATTTCATAATTAATATACTTAGAAAATAAAAATGTTTTTGAATTAATTTATTTAAATAAGTAAAAAAAATAATAAAAGCAATTGATTCTATTTTAAAATTTTACAAATTGTAAAAAGTAATTATTATATTAAAAAAAACCTCTGACAAATTAATTATTATATATAAAAAAAAAACCTTCTGATAAATCCAAAAGTAATTTTAATAACTATAAAGAAAGAATAAAAGAATTAAAAAATTATATATATATTATATCTAGTAAATTATTTACAACTTAAAAAACCCATTTTTACTCATTATAACAATTTGTTTTCTAACTTGATTGGCTTACACCTACGTCATTTTCTTTTTCTACTTTATTGTCTAAATACAAATGTGATTTGGCTATTTATATCAACTGTTGCTGTTAAAGTTATTGTAGCAGTTGCTACTACTGTTAAAGTTATTATTGTAGTTGCTACTATTACTCTTGAATTTGTTGAAGCTACTGCATCTACTATTATTGTAATTGTTGCTATAGCTGCTGCTGCTGCTATTAAATTTGTTATAGCTATTATTGCTATTATTGGAGTTGTTGATATTATTGATATCTGAATTTATAAATAATTGAAAGTATTGATATAATTAAATTAAATTCATTAATAAAATTTAAAATAAGAAAAAAAAAATACTATTTATTTTATTTAATTCAAAAATGACTTTTAAATTACTTATGATATATAGTATCATTTCTTGCTTACTTTCTCTTGGGATTATCAGTAAGAAATTATCTATTTTCTATTAAAAATTTTATCAAGTTAACTGATATTTGAATAGCAGTATATTATATAATTTTATATATTTACCTCACAATCTTTCATGATTTTGTGAAATTTTTCACTTACTTACTATCCCAAAAAATTCATTCTAAATCTTTGATTATTCTTCCTATAAGTGAAGTCCATCATACCCTTTTACAAGTGCCACCACTAAATGCATAATATTAGATATTATTTGCCTTACTTTCATTAATAAGCATTCTTACTTTATCGTTATTCCAAATAGACATTTTGATAAAGAATTAAAAAAATGAATATTTTATTAAAAAAGGATTTGAAGTATATTGAATGATTTCAAAAAAAATTTGGATTCTTTTTTGAAAAAAAATGAAAATCAAATCTTTAAGAAAATTCATTTATTAAATAATATTTTTTATACTTACGTAATATAATTAATTCAATTAATTAATTAATAATTAAATTAATATTACTTATTAATAATATAATAAAATACTAATGAGCTTAAAATAAATCTTATATATTTGTAATCCTTTAATTCTTCTTATGACTTATCTGTGATAATAAATATAATTTTGATAGATAATATTTACGACTCTCCTGTGATTAATCCTTGTATAATATTATAATATTACTATAAGATTATTAATTAATAAATTATAAATTTAGATAAAAATCCTTATCATATGAAAATCAAAAATTAAAGAATTTGATTATTAAATCAAATTAAATCTAAAGATTACTTTTATTATTATATTAATAAGACCAATCATGAACAATATGTTGTTTCACATTTTCTTGATAATAATCATTGTCACTCTCTTCATCATTATTTATATTGTTATCACTATTTTCTTCATTACTATTATTAATATCATTATCATAATAATATCTCTTCTAAGGTTTTCTTAATTTAATTGATCAAAATTAAAAATTAAAGTATCTTCGAATTCATTTATATCATTTAAATTCCATAATACTTAAAAAAATATCAAATCATATTAATATCTATAGCTTTCTAACTCTTCTTTATCTAGGTAGCTATAAGAGAATAAGAAGATATTTTGATTTTTCCCAACAGAATGTATTCTTTAATTGTCTTACTCATCTAATAGTTATATTGATTTCTAACTTTTACTTTAAAAGGTTTGTTCAAGATAATAGATAATATCAAGTAGTTGTAATTTAAAAATTAATCCTCCTGAAATAATTTTTATGTTAGTTTTTTTCACAAAGCTATTTCTTTACAACTTCAGTTTTGTGAGCGAAAAATAAATCTAATACTAAGAGAGATCTTGGATTGCTATCTCATTGTAAATATTTTGATCAAATATTTTCAATCTATTATATTATTTTTTTTCATTCATCTATCCTTGTAAATTTGCATAAATTACTTTACCTTCAGAAAATTCTTCATAAGGAATCTTTTCGAATTTGAAAATAATAACCAAAGGCAACTTCGTTTTGTTAACCAAATAAGTTAGCATAATAGTAAAATTTGATCTTTCATGACTAGTTAACAAAATTGATACAGTTTTAAAATCAGATTGTTTCACAAATTTATTACTTGAAAGATTAAATGATATTAGTATTTCATCCATATTTCTAATAAAAAATAATAGATATTGATTTCACTAGTCAAAATAATCCATTTTATCACTTTTTTAAAGTGCTGAATATTAGCCAAAATATAGTCTAATTTCTGCCGATCATTGCCAAAAAATCAGCTTAGTTATATCTGATATTACCCATTTCTATGCCATACAAAAGACCATTTGAAATTAATGATTGGTAGTTATTTGATATATCACTAGGCAAATAATACAATTCATCACATTTTAAAGTACCAAAAATTAGTCAAAATATAATCTAATTCTACTAATTATTACCAAAAAATCAGCATTTTGAATAAATAGAAAATTGGCTATCAATTAGTATTTATATTAAAAATTGGTTAAAATTCAGCATAAATCAGCTTAAAATTAATAAACAATTAGAAAAAATCAATTAAACAACTATTTATAAAATTAAAACTAATAAAACTCATTTTTTGTTTATTTAATATTTTTAATATTTATAATTTTATTTTAATATTACATAATAAATTATTCAAAAAGAATATATTTGATTTTTTAAAGATAAGAAAAAATAAAGAAATCAGTTAGAAAACTCATTAAAACTATTTTCAAAAGGCTAACCTTAATGTATTTCTATAAAAAAATAAAGAAAAAATAAAGAAAACAGTTAGAAAACCCATTAAAACTATTTTCAAAAGGCTAGTCTTAATGTATTTCTAAAAAAAAGTGAAGAAAATATAAAAAAAACAGTTAGAAAATCCACTAAATACCACTTCTGAAAGGCTTAACTTAATATATTCTTAAAGAAAGTGAAGAAAAATAAAGAAAAAAGGTTAAAAACCATTCAAAATGCTACCTTTAAAAGGCTTAACTTAATGTATTCCTAAAAAAAGTAAAGAAAAAATAAAGAAAACAGTTAGAAAAATCACCAAAATACCATCTTCAAAAAGCTTACCTTAATGTATTTCTAAAAAAAAAGTACAACTCAAAAAATTTGAATCAAGTTGAGTCAAGTCAAAAAATTTTAAAATACTAATTCAACTCAACTCAAATTATATTTAAATTTAACTCAACTCAACTCGAGTTAAATAAAACCCTATATATATATTTGCTAATTATATAAATAATAAAATAGTAAAATTATATTAAAGTCTTAGAGGCCATTATCTTATGATCTACTGATCAGAATTTTATGAAATCTGCATCATTGTATTCATTAGGATACGCTTATTAAAATAATATGTATTATATTTTTAATAAATCATTGAATACTAAGATATTTTTAATTTTTGACTTCGAAAGCCATTATTTCAAGATATACTGATCAGAATTTCATAAAATCTATACTATCGTATTGTCATGATACACTTATCAAAATGATATATGTTGCATTTCTAACAAATTACTGGATATTGAGATATTCAAGAAACATATTAAAAATAGTCATTTTAAACTTTGTAATTGGATATTTTTTGAAATTCTGGAAATTTCTAGGATTTCATTTTGCTACCAAAATGAGTTACATAAAATACCAAATATGAATATACAGTTGCACAAATTTTTAAAAAGGAAATTTTTGGCTGTCAAAAAATTGGAAAATCACCAAAAAGAGTTACACAAATTTCTAAAAATAATAATTTGTGTAATATCTAATCACATGATAGCATAACTCATTGATTTATAAGTTATTAACTGAGTCAACTCGAGTTAAAATGAGACGAGTCAATTTATTAACTCGATTCAACTAATAACTTGATTTGATTCATTTAATTCATGTGTTAACTTAACTCATTCAGAACTTTAATTTGAGTTTTATATTTAGAAACA